GGAAAGAGAAAGCAGAGTTATTTCCTTTTCTGACAGTTTGGTGCATTTTTATTAGAATCCCAAATTCTACCAGGAAGTCTGGAATAAACCAAACATTTTCAATGTAAACTTTCCAACTAGAGAAATGTTCCTCTGGTTAAATCTAATGTTACTCATTAGGTGACACTGATTTCTCTCGGACTTTGCATTCCAAAAGACTATCTTTTCAAAGAATATTTCATAGAATCCCAGACTGGTTTGGGTGGGAAGGGACCTCAAAGCCCATCCAGTCCCACCCCTGCCACGGGCAGGGACACCCTCCACTAGCCCAGGTTGCCCAAAGCCCCATCCAACCTGGCCTTGAACACTGCCAGGGAGCCAGGGGCAGCCACAGCTTCTCTGGGCAACCTGTGCCAGGGCCTCAGCACCCTCACGGGGAAGGATTTCTGCCTCATACCCAATCTAAATCTACCTGGTTTTAGTTATGCTATGGTCAAACCCTACACGTATGGGAGGTGGGTACAGAAGGCATGACACAGGAATAGTTAGTGCCAAGCAACTTCTGTTCCTTAGATTATCAGTTAATTACCACAAATCAATATTTAGCTCCCCAATGTTTCTTCATTATACATTATCCTTGGAGTTTTTTTCTGGGGGGTTATTGCTTAAGTTTTATTACACATCTGGGAAAGCAGTTCTCTCAGCCAAACCCTTTTTTTTTTTAATGGTCTATGGTTGAATTAGTGAAATAAAAGACCAAAACTTAGCATATCTAAATATTCCCTTAGTTCTTACTCCTTTAAATTGGTGCTTGATTACTTAGAACTCCTTGAAAGCAAGGCTCCTCTTCAATAACCTAACAGCAGGCGCTGTTCTTAGGAACTGTGGTCACTGTCACCAGTTTATAAAATCCACTTGATCTCCCCGCAATGAATGGCTCCCCTTGCATCTGTTGGGGAGCACAGCACATTCCCAAGGTATCAACACACAAGTTTATCTTTTCAATATGTCCTTCAGACAATGGATGCCACGAGTAAAAATTGAAAAGGTGATCAATATTAAGCACTAGGAAATACAATTTTAAGTAGGCTGGGTTAAGTTCTTATGACTAAGTGCATGGCATGGTTGCAGAATAACAGTTATACTACACATTCCCGTCTCCCTTATCCCACAACAGTTACTATAAATTCTGCTTCTGGATGAACCCAAGTAATACCAGCATACAGGAACTTAAGACTTGTGGGACCAGCTTTGGTGCCGTTACTCATCCATTTTCATGCACGGATGAAATTCAGCAATCGCATAAAAACTCAAATCAAGCGTGGTGAAGTTCAACTCCTTCCACTTAACCACAGTGCTCTGCAAATTTAACTATTCCTCCGACACCGCCTTATCCTGAAAAGAACCGTATCTCACATAAAAATAGATTTAATGCCCCAGTGCCCAGTCCAGGCTACCTCGCTTCTACTGGTAAGAGCACAGGGCCTGCCACCTCTGCCAGCAGGAGCCTTTACAGCTAGACACTTCGTTTGTCAACCATACCTGCAGAGCTAGTCCTGAGGAGGAGGAGCCAGCGCGCAGTCTGGGCTCAGCATCACTTAACTTACTTTACTGCAGCGCTACCTGCGTTACGCCTGCAATACAATGTGACAGTGACAAACCGTGTCTTTATCGAGACAGATTTCAGGAATACTCAAATAAAGCCCCTTATCAGCAGTACTGACAGTCTAATCATGTCATCAAATAGCCATGCATTACTCAATTTCGCATTCGGGTGACAAAGCAAGTTCTTCATTCTGAACCAACAGGGAAAGGTTTTCTTGTGATCGGCCTCTGCGGGAGCTCGACAGACATGTTTGTTTTAACTTACAAAATGAGTTTAAAAAAAAAAAGTTTAAAAAAGTTACTACTTGCAACACTGAAAAGTCTCATACCACCAATCTGCAGGACACCGTGGAATGAACGCCACCACCACACTCCTCTCAATCCAGTACCGAGCCAAAGAGAAGCCAGCATATTACTTGGTAGCCTACCCAAACCTGTGTTCCTTGCTTAATTTTATTACAGAAATATATAGTTTTGCCGTAATGAAACGGAGAATGACATCCTAAGTGTAAGCACCAGCAGATACCACGTACTGCGAAAGTAACCCAGGGCTGAAGGAAAGGGGGGGTTAAATACTGCAGCTCCCCTCATTGATTTTTTTTTTCCAGAGAATAAACATCAAAGATTACACGAATATCATGGCGGCAAGTTATAGCTACTGTTCAGCAGATGCAGGATACGAGCTACAACTGTGTCGTGCAACTCGCCACGTATCAAAAAAGGGAAGCAAATAAAAATTGGTATGGCATGCACCCTAACACAGCTCATCTCCAGCAACAACATTATTTTTATTTTTTTCTTCCTGCACAGCAAAAGCACAAAACAGCTAAACAACATTGGGAAAGCTTGATATAAAAAGTTACAGGGGACGAGGAGGTCTCCTAAAGCTTGTTTGGGCGGGGCAAGGAGGCACTTAACACTGAAGGCAGCAAGAAGTGGTTATATACAGCCCTTGTTTCTTAAGCGTACACAAGAACTGTTAATGAAGTTTCCATTCCCTGCTCCCAGTAAAAACCACAGCCCAAAATTTGCTTCAAGGCAAGCATGTTCAAAAAACCCACACAGACTTCGACAAGATGACTGATTACTGTGAATCCCACACTCGCAAGTCTCAAAAGGCCCGGAGACACACCACCCGTCCACCAAAGCCAGCGGCGTGTGACAAACAAGAAAAATGCAAGAGCCTCCTTCCCAACATGTGTCAAGCTGTACAGTGTCTCTGCATATTTTCATTTCCTCTTTTTACTCATTGTTCTTCAGTTTTGAGGGCTTAAGATTACTTTTTCCTCAGAGTGCTTTTCTGTTCGAAAAAGTGCACGGTGTCCGGTGTTGTATTACAAAGACATGGGTAAGCTGTACTTCTGAAATTATTTTTTTAGTATTTTCAAATCAAAGAGATTGCAAATCAAACTCAAACCAAACTGATTATACACCTCTGATCTTATTTTATTTTGAAAACATATTTGAAAAATCTCCATGTACATCAACTCATTACCCTAAGACGTCAATAAGGCTAAGAGCTGAGCAAGAAGTGGAAGGGCAGAGCACATTTGTTCCTGTGCTCTCACTATTGTGAAGGGCAAAACCAACAGCATCAAGTCACACATTTTATTTCCTTATTAGATACCTCCAACAACAGAAGGGGCTCAGAGCTACCATTCACTGGTACTAGGTACGACAGAGGGATGCTGTAAATGAAGGGAGCGCGTAATCAGTTAATCGCTTCTAGACAAAAACCGCAAACATTAAAAAGCCACTCTGCTGCAGGAGGCACAAGAGAGGACCGCTTCATTACAAAAAGCCGCTGACACCAAAAGGCAGCTCTCGCTCTTTTGCCAAGTGCTTTGCTGCCTTTTGCCACTCAGCTAATTTAGCAGGTAAGTCATTTGGGAAGCGAAAAACACCGCTGCCACGCAGGAACGAAGAGACATGGAGCGGAGAAACCACCAAAAGGGAAGGGTGCCAGCAATATATGAAGCATCTTTAGTAGTGCTTACTCACAAAAATGGGCAGGCTTTCTTTCTAGACAGTTTTGCAATACAAGGTGAATAAACTTTTACAAAGAACGGTGTCAGCAATTTCAACATTCCCTGGAAGCAATGGCAAGTCATATACCAGAGCCCTGCGTGGCTAATTAAGAACCAGAAGGTTGAAGTCAGTATGACAGTTTCACTTCCCAAACATGTCGAAGAGCAAGAAGCAGACAGAACCACATAACCAATTAAAAGACATGTATCTCCAGCACAATTTATCCTGCACAATCAATACCATACAATCACAGCAGCATGCCAAGCCAAAGACACAAAAGATGAGGAAATAGCCAGACGGGGCCCAGAGTCTGTGGCAGCCAAAACTCTGCATGGGCTACGGAGCATGATAGGACTTGGATTAATCCATTCTTTAAAAGCAAAAGGCAGGCAGCAAGCTGATGCAGCAGGGAGAGGAAGGAGGAGGAAATGTGGTCAAGCAATCAGAAAACAGTAATTTGGGCATCATTGTTCAGCCTGACCTAGCATGAAAGGAAAGAGCTAGGGCAAACAGCTTTAGAGGAAGTTAAAATAATGACATCAGAGACTTACCAGAGCAAAGGCGCACGATGTGGTAGAAACAAAAGGAAGGAACTAACTTTAGGAAAATTGCAAAGATGGATCTCTGGGTTTGTTACGGGCAATAGGAAAGCCAGGCCATACACCTGATGGTAGTCCTTAGCATCTTTTAGACCTGGCCCTCACACTTAACTAAATTAAGGTTTTATGCTTAGCATGTGGAGGCTTGACTATCCTATTGGGTAACAACCTCAGCTGAAAGAGAGCGAGGTTAAACATATTAAGATGGCACTGACAGGCTACTTTCTAAAAACAGCAGTGACATTTCTACTTCAGCTCTTGTTCCTGATCAAGCGTTCAGACTTTAACCACTAACAATACGAATTATTTTGTTAACGGCAAAATATTTTTGGCACGAGGAGATTAAGGAAGTTTTGTCTCGCTGAGTCGCTCCGCACCTGTCAGCTGTAAACGACACGACCTTCACCTCTCCCAACTGCAGCAAAGCCACGTGTGCAGGACAGACGAGCCTACCCCGCTAGAAAGGAGTACGCAGTTGTCCTCCCACAAGCATCGGCCCACCTTCAATGCCGCCCTTATGAAAAAAAGTTAGCCGACTTACTGTTAACTGCAACCCATTCGTTTAAGTCTTCACCCTCTGGAAGCATAACAGCCATCCGGAGATTACCGCTTCCAAGCGTGGCTTCGGCATGTTTTAGCAGCTCGTACTGGTGAGACCCCTCTGGAATATTCTTCTTTGGTTTGAAGGTTTTGGAAGAGCGACTACCGCTGCGAACGGGAGAGGAAATATTTAGAGAACTCGTGGAAAGGGAAGGGAAAAAGAAAGGAACAGACAACTCGCACATAAGCGCAGCATTAAGGTCAAATACTTTCCCGCTCCCTTATTTTCATGTCAAAAAAGGATATTTAACAAAAACCGGGATGGGCAATAAGAGGTCCTTTGACTTGTTGTTATAAACAAATCAATGATTTTCCACTACCCTGCCCTCTCAGCTGCTCACCCTGCTGTTAAGCCAGCCGCAGAACTGGGAACGCTCGGACTCCCTTTCCTCTCTCAGCAAACGGATCATGAGCAAGATGAGACCAAAACTATTTCCTTCCCCTGAATTTGGACAGCTGTTCATCAGGGCTAGTGGCCCAGCCAACTAGAAGCTTGTCATGGTAATTAAAGATACTGTTTATTTAACAGACAAACACATGTTCATTTTCTAGCACCCACCTTCATGAGACATGAAATGTCATCACACATGATGACATCACACAAGACTGCTTGTTCAGACCCTGTCTTTTCAAATCAGGTATGATGGGTAATTACTGTTAATTCCTCAAAAACAAGCTGCTGTTATTTATGAAAGCGTACTTTGGGCAGGCCTAGTTGATTCAGAATATTGTCTTAGCTACCAACATAAAAATAACTTTTCGAGCATCTGGTATTGTTTACGAAATTAGTTTAAAATACAGTTGCTCAAAAATACACTAACACTTGAGCTGAACACTGATACAATTCCACATTTTCCACAAACATTCCATGCGTTTTCCCCTGGTTTCACAGCATACAGACCTTTCGGTCCACCAGTTAGGGAAAAAATAAGGATGACAACCTTTACAAGTTTCATATAAATCATTTCCCTACCGATAATTCTGTTAGAAAAAGACAGACTGACTGAGAAAAAAACTTTAGACATTTGAGTTTTAAATGATGGCTGTGAGTCTGGAGGGCACATTAACCCCTAACATGTCAGAAACACCACTACATAAAATTAAGTATTTGTAGAGAAGTGTCATATGAGCCAGTATTTTGAGTGTTTTAGTGTACGAGCTGAAAAAACATTTCTGTCGTAAAGGGAAAACTGAGCTCTGAATGTCAATGAAACCAAGTGGAAAGATGGGAAAGCTATACAGCAGAGTTTTCATTACAAATATTATCCAGTTCTCATTTCTTTATATAAAAAGACTTTGCCAGTTTTTTACCATCTCTCTACAGGACCAAACAGGAAATTTTTGTTGGTGGGGTGTAAGGGTTCCCCCGGCTCACTGAATATTTAAACTGCACATTTGAACAGCCAAGGGTTGTAGCTTGTCCTTGGGGCAATACCAGCATAGCGACATTGTCACACAAAGCACTCTAAGAAAATGAATTCTGCACCTCATTTTCCCCGCCACACTACACTACAGCCATCAACAGAAAGTTAACCAAGAAGAGTGCTCATTTCTACAATCCTGAACACCAACAGCTCTAGCAGAGACACAATGCGCACCGAAGAACCCAACAAAAATTGTTCTTTGCAAAACACTAACAGCAGATGATCGACAACGTGTCGTTCGCCAAGCAAATGACAATAATGGTTCACTAAGTCTCAGTTTGAACCTGAACAAGAGCAGCGGCAGAAGAAAATATACTGAAACCGGAGATACATAATGAGTTTCCCAAATTCTTTTGGGCAGGTAACAACGTCTCGGCAGGTGCGTCTTTGGGTATTGAACAGATCCCACAAGTCTGGCTGGTTGGAGATTTACATGGTCCCGGTCCTGCTGACTCTCCCCAGCTATAAAGGAGCAGCAGCAGCCTCGCCTTCCCGTAGGCCTCCGCAGTAATCCTGTTTCCTAACCCTCGTAAAGAAGCCCTCGGCTGCACTAACAGGGATGGTGGGATGACACAGTTGAACAGGCCATGTACATTCACACAGACACCGGAACAATACTAATGCAGTCAGCTGCTAAAGGCAACCAAGAGCCACACATAGAAAGAAGAAACATACGGCTCCCATACATTCTGTTACAGGACACTTCTGACATGCACGCAGTCATTTGCATTTCACCCTAAGCAAAGATACCAGATTCAAATCTTAAATAAAATAATTGCCTCCCAGTGGGAGTGAGAAGCTTTTGCGGCTCGGGGAGTTGCCTTCACCTCCCACCCCTCCAGCCACCCGCATTTGTTGCCAGGCCATGTTCAAACTGACTCTGAAGAAAAAGCAACCGAAAAAACCCCACCAAACAAAAAAAGCCAAATCTTTTCACTGACTACTTAAGAGATCCAAGTTTTTCTCTTCAGCAACATATCTACTTAATAGCCACTATGCCAACGTAGGGGGTAAAAAAACAACTTAAAACATCTGGCAATTGCTTTGGCACATGATTGCATGGACAGGGCTGACGCAAGGTAATACTCACAACAACTGAAAAGCAAGCGAGACTGGTATCGTTATCTTTCCACGTGTGTCAGTGCAAGCAGAAGAAAACCAGCACACGCTAAACAGTAGCACCGCACTTCCTAACTTGCTCCTGAGATTTTGTTCTCACTCCATCACAACTAGATGACGAGGGAAAACAACTCTAATACTTTCATGGAAAGCAAACCCAGGGTTTCCACAGACTTACCACCACCACTCCAAAGCTCAGGCCATTCATTCATCATAAATGAGAAACGAAAACAAGCGATTCCTTCTCTGCCCTCCCCGCTCTCTGCTTACATGGAATCCCCAATTCCTAAAGCCTACGCCCTCCTTCCCACCATGCTTAAAAACCTAACATACACGAGCTTTTCTTTCACAATACTGTCATTTTCATACAACGATGAAGACTCAAAATCTTAACTGCTCTAACTGGCCTGGTGCAGTTACCCAAGGCAAGACCTAAAAAGCTCACTGTCGAGACTGCTACGGGGTGCGTGGAGCTCCCCGAGCGTGATGAGGAAAGCTCTACCCTGATGGAGGGAGCACTTACCAAGAGGATTTCGATCACAAAGGGCAGCACCCCCCCTACAGCTTCAGCAGAACATCTTTGTCGGGGAGGAGAAGATGGTATAGAAACAGATGAAGCAGTAACTGGAAAAAGGTTATGAAACAACGAAACCAAGAAGTTGTTTGCATTTTAGCAAAAAGGGTAAGCCAACAGAAGGGATGAGGGTTCCAGAACAGGGCACGAGCAAAGCATGGTGAAGGAACTCCCTAAATAAAGGTCTAATTTGAGAAAACGCTGGGTAGAAACACACGCCGGATCGTGAGCTTGCCAGATAACAAACTCAGTCACTGCAGATCTGTTGAACACCCAGCAGAGATCTTCTATAGTCAAGGAAGCAGAGAATGCACAACGCACTGGAAAATCATGAGGTATCACTTAGTCCCTGCTATCCCCTTCCCAGAAACACGGAGTTGCTGGCCATAGGCTGGCAAAAGCTGTAACAACAAGCTACACAATGACTCGGTCTCACCAACTAGTCTAAAGAAGCTGGCCCGTATTTGCCTCCACTACCTTTCTGATCGCTACTTCTCAAATTCAGCACAGCCATCCTAAGAGAGCAGGAAATGGTCTCACGCAAAAGGCAGGCAGGCAGGCATCCAAAAGGAAAAGTAATTAGGATAAATGCAGGCTGCTAGTCGTCGCGTGCTATGGAAATATCCGCAATTTTGGCCATAAATTATCAGAATTGCATGCATTTATGCAGTTCACCATATGGGAAGCCAGGTAACTGCATGCACGGTCATACGCTCCTTGACACAAACGACAGTTCAGGGACTCAACAACCTAGTAATACAGCTTCTCTAAGCCAAACCCCTTACGGGATGAGTTTGCTCTTGGGAAGTCCAGTTGTAAGTGTTACTGCAAATGTTAAGTCAACTGCCTTATTAGTTCGGAAACTCTCCTATTATTTAACTAAAACCATCCTCATTTATTTATGCCTTAGCACCACCAGTTAACTCCCCCTTCAAACAGTTACCTTACTAAGTCATCCTGCTTCCTCCCTGAACCCTGACCACAGCAGCGGATTATTCCTGCTATCCTATATTATGATTCCCAACGCTTGGCTGAAGGCATCTTAAAAAACCAAAACAAGTAAATAGCAATTTTTTTCTCCCCTTATTACATCCATCTGTTACTTGTGACGGACTTAGAAAAGCTTGTTCCAGGCCTATTTCTTCAACTCCTTGAGCATTCCGTGAAAAAAAGTAACTGTCTGGTGGCCGACAATACACACCATAATAGATGTCTTGATCAAGTACGACATTTCGTTTTCACCCACCTTCCATAAAAGAATGAGCTATATCTGTGAGCCATCTCTCCCAAGATTTTAAAATGCTCCGAGCTAGTAGGCAGCACCTGCCTTCCCCTGGTAAGAGTCTCTGACCTCTCCTTCAGTTGCGAAACATCGCGTCAATGCGGAAGCGAAAGGGGACAGAGAAACCCTCAGAAATGCCACAGTGAAGATCCCATTTTCCTCGGACATAAAAAGGTCATGAAATGGGGAACGCATTGCATCATCCTCACTATGTGTCACAACCAGTTTCTAGTCTTCCAAGAAGAACTGACTCCTCAAAAAATTCTTGCAATTCCAAGGACGTTTTGCTCCCTTCGCTCCCACATTCAACATTTCTAGTAAATTATGCCCTTCTATTTTTATAGGTAAGTGCAGCTACAGCAGTGCCAGATGCAGTTCGACCTAGCGCTAAATCAGGAAATGTGTTTAAAGCCACTGACTCACAGAGCCGGGATGAGTCTGGGAGCCCGGGGAGGAAGCCACACCTCCGATTCCCCCCGCCAGAAGCCCACACGCCGCTTGGCCTCACGCAGACGTCACAGCTTACTTGTAAGCAAGAACACAAAATTTCCTCCAAAGCTGCAATTTTATCTAGTCATCTGCTGACAGGGAGGGTTTTTAATGATGCGGATTCTGCAGGCTGTTCTGCCTTAGGTTGGCAGGACGACGTTTCCAGCAGAAAGGAAAATTTTCAGGCATCCTACTTATAACACGCTTAGCAAGCTGCCTCAACAGCCCACTTCAGCTTCAAACGCGGCACTGGCAGGTCTTTTACTATCAAAGCAGCCAAATATCCAGCCTGAACTCTTGATTCACTTCTCGTTAACTGCACGAAAAGAGCCACTTGAACCTTCACACTCCTAAGCGAAGCACTTCGGTTGGCCCGGCCTAGACCTCCTCATACCCAAGCTATGTGTGCATTGGAGTCTTTTAATGGAGCTTTTTATCTATTAAGTCTGCTGCATATCCAGGGAAACTTCAATTAAACCAGAAAAGTTTAGGCTCCTTATGCATCAAACTCCAGACTTCACAGCTTGTTCCTACCACAGAACTAACCTCAAGCTCTTACTACTGTTATGTCTAACACGGCTCAAACTGACAAGCAAAGAACCTTGCCCTGAATCTCACGTGCTTCACAATCAAACGTACGGATGCAGATCGAAGCCCAAATCCTACCTCTACCAAGACCGCCACCCTGTCCATTCTGCAGCAGCATCACAACTTAAGCCACTGAAACATTGACAGTGCTCCAAACTCTTCCTCGAATTCCTCCTGAGTGAACAAAAACAGACCAAGTTATTCCATAACTCACTAACAGTTCATTACAGCACCTTAAACTAACGCAGTATTTAGAAAGCATGCGATTAGTACGCCATTGGCAAAATGGAAGAAGGAAAAGAGGAGACGCCACCCTGGAGAAGCTGTGAGAACCCAAAAACCTTCCCCCCCCCGCCCCCATACACCTACTTGTGCATCACATATCAAACCGACATGTTTTACAAGAAATTAAGATTTTATTTTAAAATATCACAAGCAGTCAACTTCCACGGAAAGCAGAGAGAGCACTGCTCCTCCAATCTGTTTCAGGCTACCTGTAGGCTCCAGAACGCAGTGCGGCAATTACCGTAAATCATTTCATATGGGGCTCATCAGGGGACCGTTTTATCAAACACTGAGAAGGACACAATCTTGTCCTGGGGGCAAATAAATAGAAAATGCTGCGGTGGCACCACTTTCAGGATACACCTGCCACCTATATTCTTCTGACTGGTATGTATTGCTGAGGCCATGGGAAATCATCTTTCCTTGGGGGTGAACGTGCGAGTAAGTAACTTCTGCAAGTATAGCTATACCACTCAGTGTCTCCCAAAAGCATTCGCTGCCATGGTCCAACTGAAATAAGCCCCTCCAAGTATTTCCAAGTGCTCAAGAGATTCTGGGGAAAAAAAAAAAAAAACAAACTCAAGACAGGACCCAGAACGTTCACCTGAGGCATGGAAACTTTTTGTATTTCAACTCCTGCTTTTTCATCTTCAAAGGCCTTTGCAAACATTAATTAATCCTCACAAAGTATCTTTGAAGTAGGCATCATTAGCGTCTTGTTAGACCCAGGGAAACTGAGGCAGCGACTTACTGCCAAAGGCCAACGAGTAAACCTATCAGAGAAGTCTCCAAGTTTTACTTCCTTGTCTCCTTTCTCCTGCTGCATCTCTTTTTAAACCCCGATACAAAGAAACACTGTAAGGCAATAACCAAATTCCAGAAAGGCAAACATTTCAAGCCTTCAAATAATAATAGGGGCTTAAAATGATAACATCCTGGTAAGAATAGACACATCAGAGTACAATCATCTTAGTTTCCAACAGTCATCGTGTCAACATAGAAATTAACATCAAAGCTCAAGCTACTTGTTGGAAATCAAATCAATAGTTGCAGCATTTAAACCCATTCTCCCTGTGACAAACACAACATCAGAAGGACAGCAGGTAAAATTAAGTTGTACGTGTTCAAAATCTGCACTGACAAGATGTAACTCGAGCATTTCTATTTATACAACTGAGTAGTCACAACATTTCTGTTCTGGAGAGAGACGGTCTGCGAGCCAGGCATGACTTTCTTCAGCTCTTATAATACCAAAAAGTCAATTATTTTCCAGTCAAACTCCTACTCGTTAAAATAAGCCTCAGTCAATTCACTTTAATTTGGAGGTAACAAATCCAATGTAAGAATTCAGGAAGCGAGCATTCCACAACCTTGTGTTCCTTTGATGGACCACCCTGCAGCATGTCTAAAAGCCCATCAAGTAACCACCAGCCTAGGACAGAGAAAGACGGCCAAGGAAGCTTCAACGTCATGCTCAGAGGTTGCAAGTGCAATGCGCCAGAGAAACGCGCGCTTCTGCCAAGATCCGGGGCAGGATGAGAAACCCCGAGAGTTAAAAGCCAGCAAGCATACGGTTAAGTAGAGACTCTATGCGCACAAGCTGATAGCACTCACCCTGAAAAATGACGTCCCTCTCTGTAAATTCTTCAGATACAGTAACTGTATTATTCTGAACGCTAATAAAAGCGACACGCTTCTAAAGAGCCCTCCCATGTAACAAAAATAACTTTCACAAACATTAAGCTGCAAAAGTATAATTCTCTTCACACAGAGGGAAACACAGACTCTGCCAAGATCACTAAGCAAATCAAAGCAGCCCATCCAGGAGAGTTAAGAGCTGCCAACTCCTTACACAACCAAGCTGCTCTCCCACAAGGTAAGGCAGTGGTTAGAAAGCAATTCCAAGCCGAGGGGTCTTGTTTTGCTTTGTTTGGTTGGGGTTTTTCAAGGAAGAATCAATTGCACTGGCTTGAAAATTTTCCATAAACACATGGTCATTCCTACAGAAACAGAAAACGTTGTTTATTGTTTATACGCTCTATTGTAGGAAACAGTAATTGAAAATACTCAGATCAATGGCACACAGCTGAAGTTTCCCAGCGTAGCTAGTATGAGATATAAGAATAACCTAAATTGTCTACTACACCTGGAGTAAATGACTGAAAGTAGAAATACCAAAGCTAAAAATGGTGAAAGTAAGGCTGCCTAAGCAATGCTTCTTCCCACAGCTAACAAGGCTCTTGGTAACCAAGAGGCCTCAGCTTTCTAAGGAATGTCTTTTGTGTGATTAACTCACCTATTGCCTGCCCAAGCCGCAGCCAGTTGCCAAGGCTACCAAAGACGGGTGCCACCCTTGATAGCCCAAAGGCTCGGCACCAAGTTACTTCTTTCCAGAATTCAGCATGCTCCTTTTACAGCACTGTCATGAGAAAAGCCGTGCCAAGCATTTTCAGGAACAGGTACTCGATTCTGCCCAAGTAACAATTAAGCTTGCAGACATTTCTGTGCAGACCCATCCCCGTCACATTCCCACAACGGCCCCTGCTCGCTCCAAAGCGGGATCGCTTCCTACGCCAAGCTGTCCTTTCGGGTGCCTGACCCCCATGGCCTGGAAGGCAGCTTTCTTTCCGCCTCCCAGCGACAGGCTCTCTCCACCCGCAGGCGGGCCAGGAGGCCCGGCCGCACCTTTCCCTTGGCCAGGCGCCCGGCGGAGGGTCGGGGAGAGCGGCTGCAGCTAGCTCCTGCCCAGGCCAAAGGCCTCTCCGGGGGAGGCAGGCTCCGCTCAAGTCCCTCCCGCCTTGCAGGCGCTTTCGCTGAGCACAGCAAAGCTGCCCACGGCAGATCTCTGCGGCCCTTTTTCCCCAAAAGCCCCAGGTCCTTGAGTTCAGCACCTTAACAAGAAATTCAGATTTTAAAACAACTAAAACCCGAGGTAACAGATACAAAACACAACTTTGCACAAAAGGCAGGGGGTCCTTTCAGAACGGAAGGGAAGGAAAAAGCTTCGTTTCAAACACCATTTTCTTAAATATTGAACACCACACTTAAAAGACACCAGAAAACATTAATCAAAAAGTTTCTTCATCAAAAAAAAAAGTTATCACAGATGGGATGGGAGGAATTTAAAACAACATCCTTATCTCTCAGCACTTGACATTGACAACAATGGCAATACAACACAGGTTATTCCTAAAAGAAGAGCTTCTTCAGATGTCTGCAAATGGAAGAAATACCAACTGAGACAAAACTCCAAATCCCACTTCCTTCTTTTCCATGAAATGCTGTACTCCACCCTTCCTCATCTCACCCTTTTTCTTTGCTACTCCATGGAGTGAGTTCAATTTTCTGTAGGCTACTCAACCTGAACATCCTTCTCAAGGACCACAGTGACTGCTATCGTTCTAACCGATTCGAAATAGTTCCTCCTTCTGTCAAAGTACTGACAGTGAAATAGGTATTTTTATGAGATATTTTAATTCTCTACCGATCAAGGCGGAGACTAAAATCTGGCTTCTGCTTCTTGGAAAAATAATGATCTTCATAGATTGAAGTTCCACACAAGATGGTATGAGAGGAGGCAAATGGAAAAAGTCATCATCTCATCAATAGCTCTTAAAAAATACGGGGATCATTACACGCAAGACTCTACATGTTAGAAGAGCAGAAGTTTATCAGATGATTCACATCCAGGAAGGAGAAAGTTATTTAAGGTAGCCTTAAGGAATGTTTTGCTTTTGCTTGTCCCAACCTTCACCACCCTTTGTCGAAAGCTGTCACAACATGTATACGTCCACATTCTTAAAACACACTTTTTTCTTCTATCTGTACACATTTTAGAGTCAGTGAAATCAAGCAAACGCGGGATTTGTCCAGCAGAAGTCAGATGCTCCTACGTGCACCAGAACACAGCTGAAGACAAACTTGTGCTGGCTGAGCTATGACTACAGGATAGGGGACCGGCCCTTGGAGAGCAGCCGCTGAGCCCTTCCCTCTGACACATGCCCTCGCCCGCCCGGCAGCGGGACGCTTGGTGCCCAATCCACAAAGATGCTAGGTGGCCACAGACCGCTTTCCAGACGAGCCAGGCACCTATGCTTCTGCGCGTCTCCCCGCCTCCGTTTTTCCGTCTGCGGGCTCAGAATGTGCCTGTAAACAAGGGGGAGGTGTTATTCTACAACGCTCACGTCTACTACAACCCCACCCACATAGGTGGAAATGGTGTTCCTGCTGTTTACCCAGATGAATGCAACTCCTCTCCCAGTAATCCCAATTCCTAATGCAAGGAACAAGCGAGCGTCTGGAACACCATCCCGTAACAAGGAAATCATCATCAGTTTGCTATGCTCACACACAAAATAAATTCTCTTGTTTCATTTACAACATGTTTATTTAATACATTTCCATCTTCTGGAAAATCCTCAAAATAGACCAAGCAAGTCACAGTTGCTCTCACCCGATACTTCCAGAGCTCTGCCTGCGCACTCAAAAACACAATTAAACTAATTCCCAGAGCAGCCAACAGTTGTGGAAGTGACTCAACTTCTCGAGCGTTGTCCTCTGTAGGACTAACAGCACTGCTGGGCAACACAAGGAGAGGGACAGGCCACAGACACAAAAAAAAGTATACAAGAATATCAGTCAGAGAAAAGCTTTTATGAAAAATAAAGAAGTCCACGTTCAGCCAAGCATGCCCTGCTGCCTTGCAGAGGGAAGCAGGCAGAAATGCAGACAGCAGAGGAACTGGAACCTGTCCGTGGTATACAATCTGCAGCCTCCCAGAAGGCTCACTCTGCATGTTTTATCACTGTCAGTGCCGTGCTGCTCCCAAGTTTCTCCACAGACTTTTTCCAAGAGTTTTAAGACCACCAAACATCACTCGAAACAAGTTTTCATTCCAATTTGCAAGAAAGAGGCTTTTACCACAGGCCCACGTATCTCTGCGCGTTGTCCTCTGACATCCCTTTGAAATCCTGTGACGTGAGAGGAATCAAGATTACCCAGAACGTTTTGCTGCGCATCCCGTGGGATGGGGAAGAGAATCGGAAGGGTAAAAGAAGAATCGTGGGTTGAGATAAAAACAGCTTAATAATTGAAATAAAATACTAGTAATCAATTGAATAAGCGCTACTTAGCGACGACTAAAATATCACCGTGTTATCAACACTATTCTCATCCTAAATCCAGAACACGGCACTATACCAGCTGCTCGGAAGAAAATTAACTCTATCCCAGTCGAAAGCAGGACACTCACTTAAAAGGGAGGGCACAGTATGAATTCAAACAGAAGCTAGCTAGAACGTCATCCAGTTATGCTTCAAAGTTCAGTTTCCACAAAGGCTCAAACCCCAGTTTACTGCATTAATGTACCTAATGTATCATTCAGTAGACATAACTACGCTTCTTTTGTAAAAACTGCCCTTTCCCATACGTCAAACTTGGCACTAAAAAGCCATTTGAACACTTATTTCTGCTGCACATGAGCGTATGGCGCATTTTCCTTTGAAAGGAGAGGACTCAATCAAGCTGTAAATAGCAGACTACTGAAAGAAGCCGAAAAGGCTGCTGAAAAGGATGCCGTACGCACCCTGCAGCAAGGACTGCTGTAGGACAACTCGCACCACAGAGAACGAAGTTCTGCCCGGTGGCAAGCAAATTCAGAAACAACAGAGTTGTTTCTCAATATACCTACGTGCCGCACACCCATCGAGACGGGCAGAAGGACTCAAGCCTGTGAAGTCTGCAGTCCAAACCATCTCAGGCGGTCTCCCTCTAATTTTTTATTTGCATAATGAAGACACAGACCCAAGAGCAAATGCAAGAAGAACAACATCTGTGTATTTTTGAGAAATTCTTGAAACTTGTCACTCACGTCACATGTTTCCAAGAAAATGTTATGTTCTAAAGGAAAACAATTACAGCAAGGGAAAAACGCTTGGTAACACATGTGGGAGTGAGGATGACACAGCACATGTTATGCAGACGCACAGGAACATGAAAAGCACTACTAGACAACTCAACCGTCATGCAGGATGTAAGGGAACGGAATAATTATTTTTTTTTTTTTTCTTTTTAAGAGGGAAGCAGTAACATGCAAATCCTGGCCTGGCAGTCAAAACGACTACCAACAATAAAGAGAAACAAGTCAACCGCTGAATATGAGCGTCCACAGATGAACAGAAATCAAAACTATAAGGTACCATTATGGATACAACCAAACAAATTAAAAGAAATATAAGGTAATATGTAAAGCTACAAGTCTGGGTTATTTCTTTCAATAACACAGAAAAGATACTAGAAATGTTAAGAAAGAAAGAAAGAAGGTTTACTAAACCATGTAAGTAGGCAGTAAGGAGTTCAAGATCTTTCCGCAAGTAACTCAAAATATCATCAAGTGGCCTGGAGAGCTCCAGCTCGCTCGGGCAGCCTTGCACGCTGCCAGTCCCTTAAAGCATCATCCGGCTTGTGAGGCAGGAGCAAGGGGGGCAAGGGAGCACATCAAATAAAGCCGGTGATTAACGGTATTTGCCTACCTATCTTTTCTTTGCTGTAGGTTTTTGATTTGATAAACCAAGGACAAAAGTGTCCCATACAAAAGGTATACGTTACTGTCCACAGCAACCTGTTCCTCCTGCTACAGAGACTTCCTTATATTCAGGTAAATTATCTTTATGTCCTTACATTACTAATACACTCTGCATCGTCAACTGTATCCGCTGGTAACGGTCACACCCTTTAAATACATTAAAGAAAGTAGGAAGCAGAGATTTTCAGAAAGCAATCTACAAGCCGCTGAGGATGATAAATTGCAGCAATAAAAGCTTGGCTCTAGTATCAAATCAGATCCTTACTTATACACCAAATATAGTGCTTGGAGAACATGCCTCAGAACATGGACGGTTTCCCAAAATGCTGATCAGTGCTTTTGAAAACCAATGCTTTATGAATGACTAAAGCACATCTAGTCATACAACCTAAGAAATCACAGCAGGGCATTTTAAAAAAAAAAAAAAAAAAAAAAGACTCAACAGTTTAAGACAGTCTTCAATCCTTTTAAACACAATAAAAAGAACAATACGTTATTGTGTTTAGGAAAAAGGCAAAGTTAAAAAAAAGGAGAAACTTAACTAACTTTTAATGGGGAGGAGTCACTTTAGCACCTAATAAAAGGCTGTCTTTTATTTTAACTCCCACACATAACAGGCTGATGATAGGAACATGGCAAACGAGAAATACTCGGCAACTTCCCAACAGAAAACCTCAAAGCATATATGTAAGATTACACTTAGACTTTTATTAATAGTTAAACCAAGGTCTGAATTCAGGAAATAACAGAACAATCGTTAGAGGCAAGAAATAACACAGAGAACAGCAGGAAGAAGAAATGGACAGGAGGCAGCAATGAATAATCTAACAGCTTTCCAAAAATACGTTGCATTATCTCATCACTGAGTATTGCTTACACATCCCCCATATTTAATACAATCTTCTATGTGCTGTGTGTAACTACCTTCAGTAAAATTTGCTTATATCTTGCCAAGTATCATATCAGGAAAATCCACCTGTCTGAAGCATCTGAGGTGGAACAATAGCTCCTACATCCACAGGAGAACATTTCTTTTGAAATTATTTCAGCTTCTGCATTTGACAGTTGAGTCCGCAGTCAGTTTAACTGTTCTATGGTGAATTTAAACGCACATTTTTTCCTCTTTTCCAACTCACACTGCAGCAAGAAATTTTAAGAAGAGCTGTCAACCACAGAAGTTAATAATAGGACACTAGAGACACTCGATTTTTTGTAAAAGTTACACTTCAGCATTAGAAAACACAGTATTTTGTTGCCACAATGTATGACAAGTAAAGGGCACAGTAATGCCATTTCAATTCCTGGATCTAGAACACTCACCAAGTCCCTAAAACAACGAGTCCATTCAAGCAAAACCAGGACTGTGCCACTGAACTTGGTAAAAACACAATTAAAGTACCAGCTAGCAAAACAAAATATGGGTTATTTTAAAGCCAACATTGGAAAGCCACCCATTCATTATTTCGGTTGAAATTATTTCCATGTCGAAAATCACACGTCTCAATTTTTAGCTAACAAGTAATTTACCGAAGGTTACTTAAGCTCATTTATTCTCTTTGTCATAAAGAAAGGAATTAGACTCGTGATAAAGACAACAAATCCAGGCATTATGAGTTCTTATCTGCAAGACATTCTTCTTCACTGAGGAACGGATTAAGATTTTCTACGTCAGGAGTGCTCAATATCTCTAGGACACAAACAATTAACTCTGGAGGTAAGCTACCAAATTTAAACATTAAGTGCAACAACGGACAACCAAGAAAACCCAAGAATGTGGAAAAGACGCAAACTTCAAACAAAACTCAAGTGAAATATGGGCAGGATCACAGGAGGTATGCAAGAACAACAAAAGGCATGCATTCATGCCAAGGAACAGCTGTGAACTGGAGAAGGAAGAGAGGAGAGGGTGAACAAGAGAGAAGCATCTTCGTAAAACAAAAAAAGCCACAACATCAAAACAGAAGGAAAGTTGGGACAAGAAGCTATGGTCACAGTTGGTTTTCAAAATGAATGGGGAAAGACAGAACAAAGGAAGAAAGACCATTTACATTTGCAAGTCATATCACAGAGACCGAAATCACTATTTTGAAGGGCAAGGCCTAAACAGACCAAAGAGCTGCACCTTATCCTTAGCTTTCTCCTGAAGAAAAAATGCAAGAGAAGAGCACATGAATTCACTTCCAAGTACTGCTTATAAAAGTTTGAAAATATATTTGCAAGGAAAAAACTACTGTTACCTTCATGAATTAACAGTGAGGGACTGTCTTTTTATTAACACAAAATTAGCATCTCATACACATGAATTAACTGTCTGCTGACTCAGGCTACATATTTGAAATGGGAAGCAAAGACCTGAATTAAACAGAACACGTCTGAGATGCACGCCGCATTTTACTGCGCAAGTCCTGGAAGGCATACACCTACTAAGTTAACTAAGAAGTCGGTTCAAACTTACTTTCACAGAACCAATTTAAGCTGCACGGACACGTGTCTCTGCAGAAAACTAATCCCCAGCTCTCATTCCCTTCTTTTCAATGCTTTCCCCAAAATATTGACCCAGGCAGCAGCGCCCTGGGAAAGCACCCGACAGACCTACATGCGGACTAACCACCCCGTCGGCTCTGGGAAGTTATTTGAAAAATTATAAAATGAACTTTGTGGCTACCTCGTTATGATCTGCTTTAAACTGATCCAGAAAAACTGCACACACATGGGTTTAGATAACCTAGTCAGAATGTACGGTAATTCTGGAAGGATATTTATAGCACCTTGCTCAATTTTAAAATTCAGGGTTATTTCCTTCCAGAAGGGGTAAATGCAACAAATGTCATCTTCTGGAAGAGAGCCCCCTGAAAACCTAGAGAAAAATAATTTTCTTGCCCTTAGTTGTCTCGCTGAGACTCCAAAAAGGACTCTTCCAGTTTCTCCTCCCAAAGGCTTTCAGCGTCATTCACCTACGCTGACCTTCGTACAGCGCAGCACAGTCCTTCACACCAGTAGATACGTCCATCCCAACCTCTCTTCAGCAACGTTCATGTATCGCGCAGCAGGTGAAGTAACAATGCTGACAGCCAACGTTACGCTAGTGCCACAGAAGTGCTATGAAGTGAAAGGGAAGGAAATGCCATGTTTAAAAAAAGCAACGCACACAGAGATGACAAAGCAAAGCAGTGGATCCTGATAATCCCACATTGTGAAATTTACAGGCTAGAAAAATTTTAAAGAGTATGTGAAAAGCAATTAAGTCATATTCACTTACAGCTGAAACAGAATCTACGGCATTTGAATACATAAGCCACAATCTCCCTCTCTGTGTACTTAAAAAAAAAATAAAAATAAAACCAAACAAAAAGAGGACAAAAACCAAACAGCAAGTTTATTGTGGCTCAACTCTAATAGGAAGTGGCTTAGTTTACAAATGCTAAAAGCATTGCA